AAACTGAAAAAAAAAAAAAAAAACAGCTTCTGAATTTAGCTTCTCCACTTCTCAAAAATAATACTGGGGTTATTTACATAGCCGGAAACTGTCTGGATTAATATAATAGGAGATATTTTGTGGACGCACTTGCTGCATTCAAAGACAAAAACATTTAAAATACTGACAAAACAAAGAGCGCTACCAACATGTATCATTGCAATACCACTGGACTGTCATTCTTTGAAGTACCATGTACATACCATAGTATTTGAATATGGTAAACCTTCAGTAATGTGGATCATGGTATTACCATCTAACACTCTACCCGATCAAGTTAGTTTGCAGTATTGTAAAAGTGACACAATCAACAAAAAAAAAATGTGGTGCTTTGTGCTATTACAAATCCTGAGTTTTGAAATGCATATGCTGTATATAAATCCTGCATATTCCCAATAGGATTATTCTCTATCTCACAATCATGCTCTCCATTCAACTTCAAGCTGCGCTCATCGATGTTTGGGTTATACTTTGCTGGCTCTTATTCGTCCCAGTGGTCTTAGACTTTATACGGACAAATCAATATTGACAAGCTTTTCTGTTTCTCATCAGAGCTGCCTGGTTGACTTTTGTTGTATTCCTTTACATTCATCTACACTACTGTTCAAAAGTTCAGGTTCGGGAGATTTTTTTATGTTTTTAAAAGAAGTCACTTTTGCTCACCAAGGCTGCATTTATTTAATAAAAAATGCAGTAAAATCGGTAATATTATAAAATATTATTACAATTAAAAATATCAATTTTCTCTTTGAATATACTGTAAAATGTAATTTGTGATTTGGGCTCAAGAAATATTTCTGATTATTATCTATGTTGAAAACAGTTGTGCTGCTTAATACTTTTGTAGACACTGTGAAACATTTTTTTCTGAATGCTTTGATGACTAGAAATTTCAAAAGAGCGGCTTTCATTTCAAATAGAAATGAAAAAAATTACAAATAGTTTTTTTTTTTTTACAGAACTCTTTAAAATTGTGAGATATTTGATCATGTGATCTCAACATGGCAGCCTCCATGAGGGAGCGACCCACTGTACGTAGAATAAAACAGCTTTTTCTGGGCTACATATGACTGGAATCTTTTTCTAATGCAAGTGTACAACATTTTAAACATTTTTGTCAAATGGTCTAATTTCATTAGAATAACTGGGTGCACCTTAAGGGATAGAACACAACTGACATTTTTATTCTTCTCCTCCCATCCTCTCCCTAATCTACTGTACCAGTGGAGACAGAGACCATTATCTCATCGAAGTCAAGGCTAAACCCAAAATACATTCCCAACCATCAGCAGTGCAGTTAGCACACATTAAACACTAACTAACCCACAAAACACTGTATGTCTTGTGATCGATGCTTAATTAGGGGAAAGGCTTGAATGAATTCTTGCACACAACATGGGGAAATAATATCCATCTACCACATTCCTGCAATGTTTTAGAGGCTTTTCAAGGGTCTCAAAACAATCGATGGTACAATATCACATGCTTCTGATCTGATGACTAACTGCATATCCATAACAACGTGGTAAACAGGCTCTAATGGCCGACACACAGCATGGTCGATCTGATCCATATGAAAGCAGGAAACAAGAAACAGACATCAAAACGCACTCTCTGATAATGATCCTCAGTCTGTGTGATTTATACATACACACAGTCTAATTTTTTAACTTGATTTTGCACTACACCACTGCCAGGATTTTCATACAGAATAAAATTGTCCAGTCAGTGTATAAAACAGACATCCAACAGCCTGAAAAACATCTGATTATGAAACCAACCATCAATAAACTTTGCTTGTAATTTTTTTTTCTAATTATCCCCAAAAGCATCTGCTTGTGTAACTACTGACAAGTGCAGAGTCAAACCACTTTAGTTTAAATAGAGTAAAATAGGCAAAAAACACTAGACTAAAGTCATTACACTGACATCAAACTATCAAAACAGGAATCACCATAAGACATCACTGGCTAAAGATCATTTTCTCTTCAAATTAACCTACAAGTCTAGATTAATATACCAGGAGACATTTTTTTTCCCGATGCATTAATTGCATTCAAAGACATAAACACTCAAAATACAGACAAAATAAGAGTAATAAAGAAAATCCACTGATTTTAGGGCATGTGCCAGTATAGTACTATGGCATAGTCGTGTGTAAATACCATAATACAGGTAATAATTCAGAAACATGGATTATAATAATTACCATCTGATACCATCACTGTATTATGGTACCACAGCTCAACGATCTACTTACTGGTACAATGATTTGGGGAAATGCAGCTCACCACAGTACTGAGGTAAAGACCACACAAACTAATTAACCTATTATAAAACCTGCTCTAAAATACATATGTGAATGTAAATACAGTTCACTCTTAAAAATAAAGGTTCCAAAAGGGTGTTTTTGCAGTGATGCCATAGAAGAACCATTTTTGGTTCCCCAAAGAACCTTTCAGTGAACAGTTCCTAAAAGAACCATTTTGAAGAACATTTTTAAAATCTAAAGAAAAATTTTTCGACTATAAAGAACCTTTTCTGCATTTGAAAGGTTTCATGGATGTTCAAGGTTGTTCATACAACCATTGATGCCAATAAAGAACCTTTATTTTTTATTAAGAGTGCATATATCCATGGAAGTTCTGCATATATGCAAGAATATTCTCTGGTGGTTTATTAGCTCTACCCTTTCTTTCTAAGTAGCACTAAAAGCACCTGCTTGCTTGAGTAACTGTTTTTCCACTTTGGTTTAACTAGACTAGAATAACGCGCAGAAGACACACTTCAAGCCATAATACTTACACTGAATCTAGATTCAACACAACACATCTCTAGGTAATAATGAACCAGCGAAGCAATAGGAAGCACGACACTACTGACAGTTCACATTTGTACAGTGAACCGATTCAGTTCACTTCACATTACAGCGTCCATGCAACATCGCGTGATTCTAATGAACAACATGCACAAATAATGTAACATGGACTCTGTAATATGGATACATATTACATAAGTCAAATGTAAATCTGAAGCATATTTACCAGCCACAGCACTGAGCAGAAGCAATGTGCACAGCCCCAGTGACAGCACTGATGTTCGGTCTAGGATCCGCACTCTCATCCTGATGATGGCCCTGGTGCTTCTGGATGGGTTCAGCTCAAAAAAAAAAAAAAGTTCCAGTAGATTTTCTTTTTTTCCCCCCTCTTCTCTATCGAACGGAGTTCAAACTCATGTGCTCGGTGGGAATCGTCCGAAATTAAACGTGCAAATGAACGTTTGGAGGCAATGCATGATTTTAGACGCCTTTGGGTTAGTGTGTGCTTTGATAAATAGATTACAAACGCATTTTCTTCATGCTGGCTTGGAGTTTGAGCGATTATACTTCATGCAGTGTGACTTCCTCGCAGGTATTCAGCTCTTTTAAGAGAGATCTCAAAGCCTGCAGCGATCGCGTCTCGGTTGTTATCGGTGTTTATAAACAAGATTTAGTTTCGATGTATTTGGTTCTGGTCCAGATGCTCGAGCGGTATCTTAATATGAGTCAGGTTTCTTCGTGTCAGTCCGCTTCAGTCGTTGTTTAGCTTCACAAGCTGACGACATATCCGACATTTTCTGGCTTTAACTAGTTTTATTCCTGAATTGACGCCAAAATAATGTCTCTAAAATGAAGCAACTCTACGGCAGAAGGCGCCGAGCCCATCGGTCGGTTCAAGCGGCCGAACAGGAGCGACATTGAGTCCGACCCAAAGCGACAGAGGCCTTTAATAAACAGCGCAGCGAGTCTCAGTCGATGATGGTCGGTGAACTGATCGCCGGTCAGGGTCTGCTCGGGTAAATTAGCGCATTTCTCCCGGTGTGGATGTTTATCGCCCCACGGATCGCGTCGAGCTCCCGCGGCCGCTCTCGGTAACTTCAGCTCCGCCTAGAGCAGACAGATGAAGGGCAGCCAGTCCTCCTCCTCCACCCCCTCCTCTCTCTCTCTCTCTCTCTCTGTCTCTCTGCCAAACCAATTCAATTATAAGTCGTCTCGCTTCCTTTCTCCCCTCTCACCCATACATATTTTCCTTGTTACAATAGTTTCCGCCAAAAACACCTCACTTGCTACACTTATGATTACTACAACTGTATACAACTGAGGTGTAAAATGTGGTTTTACACTAACAAAAATTGTTCATACCAGGTAAGCAACCATGGTAATAGTATGTTTTATATGTACCATGTATACATAGCCTACATAAATATAATATATAATCACTCTATCGTTGTGCTATCACGATTGAAAACGGAGCGTCTTGAGAATTGTCTTCGAGTCTTGAGAACTCCTGTTTTACACCGTTTGAAAGAAATCTGACTATTTCCCAGTAGTAACCCGTAATTATCTATATTAACTACGCTATGTTGGCAGAAACTGTTTTTAATAATTATCTTTTTTTAAGAGTTATAAATTACGCAATGATTACAATGCAATAGTTATGTATGTGTGTAGGTAACAGAAAAGTAGTTGTTAATCTGTTTTTCTTTCCTACTATTTTTACGTAAATACCTATCTGACTACAAATTCGAATAAGACATATAAAATTACATAGTATGTTCTTATTTACTTTGAAAATGAAATATGACCTAGTCATGTAGTCATCGGTTTCACCCACATATGCGACAATACTGTCCATCTCAGTCAGATGACGTGCCAGCACATTTTAGGAGCAAAGGTTACTAGTCATTTCTTTATGTGGGATTTTGAAGATGAAGGGAGTACTTTGATTGCGGTTGAAGTTGAGCAAGATTAGACTACGACAAGGATGTGGAAGGTTTAGCTATGTGGGTGACTTGAAGCCACACAATGTTTCCATACAAACAGCGCCCCCTGGTGACTAACACTCTGTAACAGTTCATCTGGGGTAAAGCAACAAGGCCTCACAAGAGCTCGAGAGCCTTTAAATTACATAACCCTGTCATTAAATTCAAGTGCTCTGTAATTGATTTTAAGACGCTGACTGACTTTCAAAAGAAGCCGTCACACATGCCACACAGATCTGATGGTGTGCATGCTGTAACAAATATTGTAAAAGTACTTATATTTATGCATTTCGCTTTTACTTAAAGCAACTTTTGTTGCATTCAGTGTATAGTATTAATAGTTTATGCATTCCCTGGGAATCAAACTCAATACCCTGGGCTTTCCCAATATCCAAAAATGTGATTTTGAATCAAGTTTATTTAAAAAATGAAGATAAAAAAATAACCCACAGTATTACATTTCATTAAACAGATTGCTTATATTGCACACATAACACTGACAGAATAGCTTTGAAAAGTATTGTAAACACGGCTGCAAAGCTTTCAGCTGTAAAATTATCTGTAAATTATCTGACAGACGTAAACCTGACCTTTGCCAATAGTTAAAATAGATGCCTTAAGATATTTTGTAGTGGATTAGCATTTTAAGAATGATTTCCAACCTATTGAAATGCTTTTTTTTTTTAAATGCAAAGTAACAGTAAAACAATTTCAGACCCTGAGTGTGAAATAAATCGTAGGCTCGCAGCCAGAAATGACTTAATATTAAGTGCAAAAAATATAGCGTTAAATGAACTATATAATAGTCATAAGACATCAAGGAGTTTCATTTCTTTAGCTTTGGCTGAGAGACAATCGGAGCTCTTCCTCTCTGATGCTCCTGTCCAGCCTCTGTGTCTCTGACTCCAGCACTGAGGGGACGGGCCGCTGGGACACCGCAGCTAGAGACTCGTTCAGATCTTGTTTCAGGGACATCAGACTCTGGCTGTTCTTTAGAGAGCGGTCTATGAACTCTGCCCTGTGCTGATGGTCCACGGCCAACGTGAGACGAAGATGATGAACCTAGAAATTGGGTTTAAGTTTTGAGGCCATGTTATGTGTCAAAATACAAATGAACTGTTGAGTTAAGTGTTTAGAACGAACCTGTTCTTCCAGCTCATTGGCTCGGACTCTGAGACGCTTAAGCTCTTCCTTTTCAGTACCATCTGACAGGGCCTACATAGCACAATATTGAACTATTTTTGCTTTTCACTTGCAATTAACACTTAAAAGACACATAAAACAACTGATTGCAATAAAAAAGTTTGGTATTAGCATGTTACTAACAGCATTATTATTGTTAACTAAAACTATTATATAGGTTTCCGGTAAATGAAATACAGCTAAAATAAAAATAAAACAAATATTAGATAACTATTAGATAACATGGCAACTACACGAAATATAAGTAAAGCTACATAGAACTATTAACATGGAAAACAGAAAAAAAAAAAACGAATAAAATAACACAAGTTACATAAAAATGAAAAATCAAATTAAAAAGTAAAAAAGAAAACTGAAAATATAAATATATGGAAATTCAAAGCTAATCAAAATATCAATAAATATTATAAAAGTATACAAATAATACTAAAACAACACTGGTTGTTAAAGCTAACAAAAATATATTGTAATAAAAATAAAAATATATTCTACTAACAAATACTGGGTACTTCTGTGACAATCCATCACAGAAAGACAACCAGAACAAAACACAAATGTATTGCAAATGTATTCTCTCCATCATACCAGAACTCCAGCTTCTGTCTGTGACAGCTGATGCCTCAGTTTCCCCCTTTCCAGCTCAACCTGGTGATGGCCAAATATATACAGTAATCATGCGTATGAATCATTCTGACATCATAATATATGGTCCCTTTGTGAGTCGTGCACATACCTGTGTCAGCGTCTCTCTCAGGTGCTGTCGCTCAGTTCGTAGTCTCTCAATCTTCCTCTCCAGATGATTGTTTTTCTTCTGCAGAAGGTTCTGTTCCACCTCCAGTTCTGCCACGGCCCGCTGCATTGCCGAGAGACGCCCCTGCACTGCCAAGTCTGTCTCCACTTCATTTACAGACTGGGCCTTCGGTTCAAGCTCTTTCTCCTATTAATTTTGCCCAAAACAATTCAACATAAACGAAAAATTCACTGCATAGTGTTTAAAGGGGACATGTCATGAAAAACAGATTGGCCTCACTTTTTTGCACTGAAAGAGTAAATATTCTATGGATCAAAACAAGCTCCCTCCTCAGTCCACTCACGCCATTTATGGAAACTAAGCCTAAAACGGTCTAATTTCAAAATTGCCACACTGCTGATATCACACCCATGACTAGTCATGTTTACATTTTATCAACAGCTTACTCAAAATTCAGTCACATGGTAAGGGCATTTTTGCTGGTTTCACATTCAAAAAGGGTAGCCAATCATGTACATAAAGAAATCTTAAAGACACAGTAGCAACAAAAGCACATTTAATTAGGACACAAAGGGAGTCACAAATAATAGCAATAAAAAAGAATGACAACTGCTTTTGGTACAAGAAAGTAGAGCTCAAGAGAAAAAAAGAAGCTACAAAATGTACACTAATGTTTAAAAAGTTTTGGGGTCTGTAAAAAAAACAAGTTTTCTAAAAGAAGTCTCTAATGCTCACTCAGGCTTTTTTAATCAAAAGCACAGTAACAGTAATATTGTGAAATATGAATACAGTTTAAAATAACTTCTTAATTTTAAGATATTTTAAAATGTAATTTATTCCTGTGATGGCAAATCTGAATTTTCAGCATCATTACTCCAGTCTTCAGTGTCACATGATCCTTCAGAAATCATCTGAATATGCTGATTTGCTGCTCAAAAAAATCATTATTAATGTTGAAAACAGCTGTGCTGCTTAATACTGGAAACCATGGCACATTTTTCCAGGATCCCTGGATAAATAGAACATTCAAAAGAGCAGCATTTATTTGAAATATAAATCTTTTGTAACATTATAAATGTCTTTACTGTCCTTTTTGATCAATTTATTGCATCCTTGTTAATTAATTTCTTTAAAAAAACCTAATTGACCCAAACTTTTGAATGGAAAGGAAAATGGTCCATTTAAATTATTTTAGGATCACAATCCTGCTCAACTGTGAGTTCCAGATACTAGTCTTAGATAATTAAACTAATTTATCTATAGAGGTGCACTCAGTAATTTTTATTAACCAGCCAAATACTACTCACTTCCTCTGTAGCCCAGTGTTTCTGGACAGTTTCGGTCACAGAATACACAAATTATGGTTGATTGAAAAAAGGACATTTTGATGTTCTGTAACTGAAATCTTTAGCTTTTGCTGCATCCACACCAGTAGGTGTCGGAATAGAGTCCAAGGTCATATCAGCACAAATACACAAATATGTACTTTTATACTGCTGCCAAAAAGGTTATTTTAAAATTGTGGTTGGATCCATCTACCCCAGTTGGATTGACGTGGATGTCGTATTTGCTGGACGTTGCCCTTTTGGAGTGTACCACATCCAAAATACATGGTGCCACCAGAAAGACAATACAATTTTGGTTGGACCTTATTGATACTTTATCAGGCCTATTGAAATCCTGAGATGTACTTGTTATCCCGCTAATATTGTTTTGTAACATTGTATTGTAACCCGCTTGGTTTTTTTTGTGGTTTTTTTTCCATGTATATGGGCAGATCTCGGGCTCTGCTGTAAAAAGTTATAAATAAAAAATGTTAAATAAATAAAGAATTTAAAAAAAAAAGTACTTTTATCTGTGACCATAACGACATATTTTATGCTTGGTATTTTAAATTAAAGATGTCTCTGCCTTACTGACCTGTGATGTATCAGCTCCTGCCTGCTTTCTCTTATGCTCCTGCTGTTCCAGCCTCTCCTTATAGTAAATCAGCGTGGATTCAGTTTTCTCTAGAGCCGTCCTGACACGGTCCCTGTCTTTACTCAGCTCTTCAATTCGCTCTTTCAGAGCATATACCTCAACGTCCTTCTCTCTGAGGAGTCTGTCCCTCTCCTCCTTTTCTAAAAGGACAGTGGACATTTGTTCCTTTAGCCTTCCCCAGTCCCGAGTGTCTGGTGGTCCAGTTTTTATGTTCTCATTTCTTATTGTGGAGTGCAGTCTGTTGATCTCAGTCTGTAGGGTCTGAGCCTTGGTCTTCAATCTCTCGATTTCCTGTTCCTTTTTTGTAAGGTCCTTTCTAAGTGTGTCTGTCTCTAACAACTTGTCATGAAACTGATATTCAGCATTGATTTTTAGGAAGTCTGATAGAGTACCATGGCCACTATCCATCTTCATTCCATTGTTTTTCTTTTCAGATTCTCTAAGATTGCGTAAATCCTCTTCCATTTTGGTCTCAAGCTCTTGTTTCTCTTTCTCTAAGGTTTCTATTTCTTCCCTCAATATCTTGGTATTTCTTTTCTCATCTTCAAATTCATCTTGCAATCGAAGTTTTGCTGACTGTTCTTTATACGCCATTTCTCGAATACTCTCCAGCTCAGTTTCTTTGTCCTCGAGTCTCTCTGACAATAATTCTAGTTGTCTTATGTTTTGATCCTCCGCTTGCCGAAATTTCTCACTTTTTCTTTTCTCATTTTCATATTTCTCTTTCATCGATTCTATCTCCTTTTCCTTTTCACTCACTGTTTTTCTGAGGAGCTCCAATCCCTCTAACACACCTTGTTTCTCATTATTTTCTCGTTTGAGTTCCTCCCAGTCTTTACTCTCTCTTCTTCTGTCCTCTCTCAGTCTGTCCACTTCCTGTCTCAGCTCTCTGAATCTGTTGCTCAGTTCCTCTGCTTCTCTGGTCCTTTCTGCTGCCAAAGAGCTGAGTTCAGTCCTCTGATCTTCCAGGATGTCCATTCTAGCCTTCGCTCTGGTCAGCTCAGCCTCTCTCTGCTCTGCTACGCTCTTCATGGTCGCCAATTCTTCTTCTAGCTTCTCATGTCTTAGCTGCATTTGTTCCTTCTCTCGCAAACCTTCCTCATTTTTCTTTCTAAGATGTTCCTCTTGGAGGTGAAGGGCAGTCTTAAGCTCCTGTTTTTGCTTCTCTAACATCTGGACTTTGAGTAGAAGATCTTTGGCTTCAATCTGTGCTGCCCTAACACCTTCCTCTCTGCTTCGGACCAACTCATCCTTCTTTTCCTGCATCATGGACCGGAGTCTCTCTCCCTCACGATGACTCTCTTCTAGCAGTTCCTTCAGAGTCGCCATCTCTTGAAGGCCTGCAATCAGGCCCTCTCGCATCTTCTGGTTCTGCTCTTCTCGTTCCTGGATTTTTGACCTGGTTTCTTCTTTGGTTCTTGAAAGATTAACCAACTGTTCTTGTAAAGTATCCACCTGGGCAGCCAGTGCTTCTTTCCTTTCTTTTGCATCATTCAGCAAAGAGCTTATCCTGTCCTTGTCTCGCCTCTCTCGAAGCGTTTCATCTCTCAGAGCCTCAATCTCTCGCTCTTTCCTGCGAAGCTCTGCTGAGAGATGGTCTCTCTCCTCCTCCAGCTCTCGTACTCGGGCCCCAAGCTTTTCCATGCGTCCTGTCTTCTCCTCCATCAGGATATGCTGACCTTTTTGCAGATCCTCAAGCCTGGCTCTCAGCCTTTCCCCTACCATCTTTTCATCTCTCAGTTGGGTCTCCAGACGCCTCCTCTCATCTTCAATCTGACTCAAAGACCTCTTCAATCTTTGTTTCTCCTCTTCACTGTTCTCTACCCTGGATTCAAGCACTTGTGCTTCCCCTCGGCTCTCCTGCAGCAGTTGTGACAACCTTCCCAACTCTCCTAACCGTTCATCCAGTTTTCCCTTCAGCGTCTTCACCTCTTTGCCCTGTTCGCCTATAAGTTTCTTCATATCTTCAACAGTCTCCCTCTCTTGATCTCGCTCACGCCTGACCAATAGTAGCTCTTGATTACAGTCCATAAGTGTCTCCTCTTTCTCTCGATGTTGACGCTTTTCCTTCTCCAGTGCCGTTTCAGTCTCCTGTAGACTGCTTGAAACATCAAGATTCCTCTGCTCGGCTTCGTGCAGCTTTTCTCTCAGCCTTTTCATTGCTTCTTCCTCACGGTGGACTCTATCCCTTTCCTCTTTTTCTTTTTGTTGTAAACTCTTCTTCAGTGCCTGTGCCGCCTCCTCTGTGTCTTGTAGGAGGCCAGTTTGGCGTTCAAGGTCTTCTTGTTGCTCCAATCTTATTTTCCTGCCCTCCTCATTCTCCTGGTTCAGTTCATCAATCTTCAGTCTCAACTGCCTCAACTCTGTCTCCTTCTGAAGGAGCTCTCCTCTCAGTATCTGCTCCCTATCTCTTTCCTCAATCTCCTGTCTTTTCCTTCTCTCTTCTTCCCTTTCTTCTGAGTTCATCCGGTCTCGTTCCATCTCAATTAACTTGGCTTTGCACCTGTTCACCTCTTCGTGTTCTGCTTTGAGCTTCTGTTCGAACATCTTCTGTTCTTGTACAAGTTTTGCTTGTAATTCTTTTAGCTCACTATCTCTCTCATCCACCCTTTCTAGTGTCTCCTCTTTTTCTCGAATGACTGCCTCCATTTTGGTATTGAGATCTTCTAATTCTCTATTCAGTTGTTTCTCCTGTTCCTTAAGCTCCAGTTGCTTTCTGTCCACCTCTTTTTGTTTCTCCATCTCCTTCTCTTTCATCTTAGAGTTTTGCTCCTTTAGAAGTTTAAGTTGTTCGTCCTTCTGCTCAACATCAGCCTCTAGTTTCTCTATGATTACCTCTAATGACTGAATTCTACCTTTGAGATCACCAATGTCCTCTTCTCTCTTTTGTACCTCTTCCTCTCTTTCTCTAAGAAGCTCTCTTAGTTCTGTCCTCTCTCTTTCAGCAACCCGGTTTACGCTCTCCTTCACTTTTTCTATGTTGTCAGCTCGTCTCTTCCACCACTCCACATTGTCTTTCACCTCTTTCAGTCGCAGTTCAAGAGTTCTCTTTTCTGTGGACAACATAGTTTGTAATTGTTCAACATCTTTATCTCTTTCTTCCACGAGTAATGAGATATGTTCTTTCTCTCTCATCAGTTCATCAATTCTGCTTTTGAGCTCTATCAAGTCTCCATCTTTCTGTTCTAACTGTCTTCTACACCGCATATCTTTCTCCCTCTCTTGCTCATCTCTTTTGTTTTGTTTGGTTTCATTTTCTCTTATTTTCTCCATCTCTCTCTCTTTCAGTTGAGTGTTGTGTTTCTCCAGGGCTTCTAATCTACTCTCCAAGGTCTCTTTCTCTTGTAACTCTATTTCCAGACGCTCAATTGTTCTCTCATGTGATTGGACTTTAAATTTTAACTCTTCGATATCCTCTCCTCTCTTTCGTATTTCATCCTCCTTATTTTTCAGCAGATCAGACATCTTTGACTTCTCTCTCTCTATGATCTTGAGGTTTTGACTTTCTCTTTCCACACTTTCTATAAACTTCTGATTTAACTCTTCTTTCTCTCTCTGAACCTCATTTTCTCTCTCCTTCCATCTCTCAATCTCATCACACGCTTCTCTCAGTCTTAGTTCAGCTGTTTTCTGCTCTGCTGCTGATTTCGTTTGTAGTTTCTCAAGTTCTGTGTTTCTTTTGTCTAAGATGTCTGAAAGCTCTTCTTTTTCTTTTAACAAACGATCAATCTTGTTCCTCAGTATCTCCACTTCTCCATCTTTCTGGCCAAGTTCTGCATTCAGAGCTTCTCTCTCTTTTTGCCATCTTTCTCTCTCTATTTTGCTCTCTTCTGCTTGTACTTTGTTTTTCTGTGATTCTTGCTCAACATCTCTCTGAATCCTCTTGCATTCTGACTGCCAGTTTTCTATATCTCTTTCACTCTTCCTTCTTTCCTCCGTTGATTCTTTTCTTTCCCACTCTCTTTGTGCTGTCTCTCTCTCCAAGTCGGTCTGTAGACACTGAATCTCTCCTACACAATTTAGAGAGAAAAATGTTAAATTTTTATTACACATACAAATACACTAACATGTTAAGCCAGTAAAGTGAATAGTCAATGAGAAATTTATTATAATAAAACAGTCCAACCTTGCAAGACATCTTTGGTCTGTGTCAGCGTTTCCACCTGTGTTTGCAGATGACTGCACTGCATCTCCAGACCTGAGGCCTGTTCCTGAACCTGAGCAATCTGCTTTTGGAGGCATGCTACCACACCTCTGAAGAGAGACAGCAGCAGGTTAGAAACTAATAGGGGATTGGTACTAATATGGTTCAAACAATTGATTCTGATCTAGTTATACAGATCTAACATAAAATAGTTGATGTTGGTTTTAAAGGTAACAACCTAGCAACTTGACAAAAAGGATGACGCTTTGATGACAAAAATAGGTTTAAATATGTTTAACAAAAAATGTCCTCATAAAGCTTGAAAAGACTAGTATGAAAGAATACTGAGCTGTTAGTATGTTGTTTTATGGGAAACTCTGTTTCATTATACCCGAGTTCCTCTTTGACCTGTGTGAGTTCCTCCTCCTCTCTCTCCAGTGAACACACTATGTCCTCTAGTCTCTGGTTCTCTCTGATTAGGTCGTCTCGCTCTCGTTCAGCTCTTCTCTGCTGCTCTGCTGCTTTGAGCAGTTCTGCCTGGACACTCTGCAACTCCTTCATCATCATGCTGCACTGCTCAGTTAACTGAAACATAAGCACATCATCACTGTCCGTGAGTAGACCCAAAACATTAAGTATTCGAAAACAGGAAAATACGTGTACTGAATAATATACACTAAATCCCATCATTATCAAAAACCTAGGGTGATCAGGACTCAATCAATAGTCTTTGTTATGGAATGTTTATGTATATGTGTTTGTGTGGGTTGGTCTGTTTTGTGTTACAGATCCTACTGGACAAACAGCTTGTCATTCTTCATCATGGAAGATAACGCTCTGGTACATGCTGCCAATCACCTTTCACCGCATCTGTTTAAATAGCTGTATTTCCTCCGTACCGTCAGCTTTTTGGTCATTTTGTTGCTTCACTGTTACTGTGTTGTACACTCCTTGTTAATGCAAATCTGCGATTTTGTAATTACTGCACATGCTGTTACAAGACTTTACTATATGTGTGTACTATACTTGACCAATACATTCTGATATTCAAGTTCAAGATATATAAATGTTTACCTATGCATAAATAAAAATAAATAAATAAATTTAAAAAAAAATTACAAAAAAAAAAAAAATTACAACGGTATGCAAACTGGAGCGGATCGAGTGTGTTGGGGAGGCTGGTTTTGATGTTGTGCATGACTAACCTCTAACAATAATGTAAGCTGTATACTTACATTATTGCGGATGTAAGTATACAGCTGTTTTCCTCCGTCTTCTCAAGTCTTTATGTTGTGTGTTTTTATGCCATTTCACCTTATATTGCACAGCTACTCAACAAACAAATTATTGTACGATTATTTTACAATTATATATTAATTTCACAATAAGTGAAATATTTCATTATTTGTATTGTTCTACTTAAAAAGAAATTATTTTTTATTATTTTATTATATTAAGTAAAATATGTTGATTTGATTAATACACACACATACATATACAAAGAGAAAGAATTACTTGGAAACTTGTCAACTTGCACCTAGTTAGAACACAATGTTTACTTTTCAAAAATGTACTCTTTTGTGTGCTGAATCTAGTTTGCAAGCAGTCAGTATTGTCTGAGTTTCTCACCTCTGCAATCCTTTGTTCATTATTCTTCTTCTCTTCTGTGAGAGCAGTCACCTCCCTCTCTCTGTCCTCCCTCTCAGTCTCCAGCTCATTCTCCAGCTCTCTCTCCCGGTCTCGGAGCTGCTGCAGAGTTTTCAGATCCGTCTCTCTTCGTTCCCTGGAACGCAGTGGGATCATCAACACAACTGAAGTGAAGAATCACTGGCTGTGAAAACACAGGGCCAGCATACTACAGCCAAATATAACAGCTGTTGAGATAAACTCAGACATTTATAGTGTCATCTAAAGCCCCATGTATTCATTAGTATTCCTACCAAACTCATACCAGCTCATTAGGGACTTGATTAGCTGCCATTTAGAGTCACAGACACACTTCATCTATAGATTTTAAACTGCCTATTACACAAACATATCTTACTCTGCCTTGCGCATAACAAGGAGGTAAAGGGTAGGCAATATAAACAATATTTATATCAGGATATTCTTAGTTTAGCGGTGTTATAATATATTAAATACATTCTTTTTAATTTTGCATTTCCATCATTATAATAATGAAGCTTCCAAGCTAACATACTCCGCACTTCATAATATATCTACAGCCTTTTCATCAGCTGACTTTTAAATATGTCCCTCTGTTTCACAAACCTTAATTCGTTGGCCTCTAGAGACGAGGTCTTCACTTCTCTGCGCAGACCTGCCATCTCTGCGCCACATGCCTGGATCTGGGCCTGGGCTTCTGCCACCTCCGTCTCCAGCTGAGGGGTCAGGAAAACAAAAATCACACCTCTCATCCCTCCATCCCAAACCCGGCCCTACCAGCAACTCAATCTGGCGCTGGATCAAGTAATTAAAGGCAAGAGGCCTGTGACAGCTTGCAGGGATTTGGTCACGTCCCTAGGCAGTGTAAGTGATCTATGCTAAAGATGGGCTAAACCTGCGTGCCAGACCTGCAGAGCACGAACACTGAGTTCTCTCTTGTCCTTGGCCAGAGCTTCATTTAAAGTAGCCATCTTCTCCAGGGCATCTCGACCTTCTGCCAGCTCCCTCTTGAGCTGGGTATGACTGGAAGACAGGGCCAGTAATGACTCCCGTGCCTGGAAGGGAGGAGAGAGGGAAAATGGAGGACAACATAAAGGAACGATTGAGAGAATAGGTACAGAATAGGAAACTACACAACTCGGACAAAACTCCATCGGTTCATTTTAACAGGCAGAATTGTCTGATGTCCCAGGGCCAGTGTGTGAGAGTTTTGGGCAAATTGACACAGCTGTTTTGCTTATGTATATGGTATACACTCACAAGCCATGTAGACATGGTCAAGACGATCTGCTGAAGTTCAAACAAAGCATCAGAATGGGGAAGAAAGGTGATTTAAAACTGCAGGCAAATCAGATTTTTTCCTCAAATCATATCTTTTCATGCAGACTGTCCACACTATTAATTTCAAGTGATCAAATCAGATGTTTGTGTCCAGACATAACAACCTATCTGCATGGATTGCTTTGGTAACACACACATATGTGCAGGATGCAGGAAAAATTATCTTTTCACTCTTCAAATAAGCGCACTGTCAAGTTGCAGTGCAGAACTGGTATATATTGTGATGTTCCATGCTATAGTTAGAGCTGGCTTCAGCCTCGTTCAAATACTATATGAACCAACTCCAAATGTGGTTTGAATCAGATTTTTCCAGACTTTTCAAAAATCTAAACATGCAAAAAAGAATAAAGGATTTTTGCTGGCAGTCCGAACATAGTGACTTTGAATGTGGCATGGTTGTTGGTGCCAGACGGACTGGTCCGAGTATCTCAAAAACTGCTAATCTACTGATATTTTCATGCACAAGCATCTCTAGTGTTTACAGAGAATGGCCCGAAAAAGAGAAAATATCCAATATCCAATATTTTGTGGACAAAAATGCCTTGTTGATGCCAGAGGTCAGAGGAGAATGGCCAGAGTGTTCGAGCAGATAGACCTCAAATAACCACTTGTTACAAACGAGGTATGCAGAAGAGTATCTCTGAATGCACAACACGTTCAACCTTGAAGCAGATGTGCTACAGTAGCAGGAGACCACACCAGGCGCCACTCCTGTCAGCTAAGAAGAAGAAACTGAGGCTACAATTCCCACGGGCTCTAAAATTGGACAATAGTAGATTGGAAAAAGGTTGCCTTCTCTGATGAGTCTTGATTTCTGCTGCCATATTCAGATGGTAGGGTCAGAATTTGGCATAAAAAACATGGTTCCATCCTGTCTTCGATCAACGGTTCAGGCTGCTCGTGGTGTAATGGAGTGGGGGATATTTTTTTGCCACACTTTGGGCCCCTTAGTACCAAATGAGCATCGTTTATGCGCCACAGCCTACCTGAGTATTTTTGCTGACCGTGTCTAACCCTTTATGACCACAGTGTACCCATCTTGTGATGGCTACTTCCAGTATGATACGTGCCATGTCACAAAGATAAAAAAAAAAAATCTCAAATTGGTTTACTGAACATGACAATGAGTTCACTATATTCAAATGGCCTCCAAAGTCACCAGATCTCAATTAAAAAAGCACCATTGGGATGTGGTGGAACGGGAGATTCACATCATGTATGTGCAGCCGACTGTGTGATGAAATCATGGCAATATGGACCAAAACAGCACCTTGTTGGATCTATGCCATGAAGAATTAAGGCAGCTGGAGTCAAAAAGAGTCCAACCCTGTTCTAGCAAGGTGTACTTAAAGGGGTCCTATTATGCTCTTTTACAAAGTCTTGATTTTGTTTTGGGGGTGTACTAGAACAGGCTCTCATACTAGGTTGTTCGAAAAACACATTATTTTTCTCATATTTTACATTATTACAACACCTCTCTCCCCAGTCTGGCATGAACGGCTCGAATAGTTCCTGTATCAAATGAAGGCCCGCCTTCTGAAATACGAAATGTGCTGTGATTGGTTAGCTGGGCCAGTGTGTGTTGTGATTGGCAGCACTCGGCGCCTGGTCGGGAAATGGCATGCCCCTTACCATAGCCGCCTGCGAGCTTCAGTGTAAATATTGCATCAAAATCAAATCAATTTGAGCACGATTTAAACCCGGATGATTGTAACCAGTCTAAGTCAGTCTGCTCTGGGAAAGCTAGCGTGTCTCCGACATGTAAAATTTTTTTTTTTTTTTTTTAGAAATAAATACTTTTATTCAACAATGACGCATTGAATTGATCAAAAGTGACAGTAAAAACATTTATAATATTACAAAACATTTATTTATGTCAAATAAATGCCGTTCTTTTGAACTTTCTATTCATCAAAGAATCCTAAAAAAAAGTATCACAGTTTCTACTAAAATATTAAGCTGCACAACTGTTTTCAGCATTGATAATAAGAAACGTTTGAGCAAATCAGTATGAAATATTGTAGTAATATTTAACATTATGACTGTTCTTACCATACCGACCTCAAACTTTTGAGCAGTAGTGTATATAAGTGGCTAGGTTTTGCTGAAATTGTGAGAATGATTTGTGGCAATCACGCCTCTCTCCACTCTATCAGTTTACCTTGAGTAAGGAATCTTTAGTGTCTGCGGCCTCTTGCTCAGCTCGTGCTCTGTCCAGCTTCTCTCTCTCTAGCGCTCCCTGCAGGCTGTGCATCTCCAGACGGGTACGAGTCTCTCTCTCGCACAGCTGAGTGGTCTCTAGCATCTCTGTCTCCATGCTGATTTACAAATAAACCTTATCAGAGTTATTTACCAGCAGAATATGGCATGATGAGCATGACTGAACAGGGCTCTAATGACACGCACATCCTAAATGAATTCTGCATAATGTTAAACGGTGATTGATGGACAAGCATACCGTTTCTGTCTCTCTCTCTCCAGCTGGATTCTCTCCTCCTCCTCCTTCTCTCTCTGTCGTCTCAAGTGTTCATTCTCCTGTCTCAGCTCCTCAGCGAGTCTCTCAGCCCCTTCTATCTGACTGCGCAAACTAGTCACCATTTCCCTCTCACTGTCACACACACACACAATGTCAGTTTTACAATTATGGCCAATAGCAATTAGCTAATAATTATTTGTAGTGGCCGCTAACAAAATTCTATACCATCTTGTTAAAAAATACATTAACGTTTAAAAGTCTGGGGTAAGATTTTTAAAAAATGTTTTATTTATATTTTATCATAATATAAATATATATTTTAGCATACATTTTATATTTTATATATATTTGTGTAGTTTTATTTATTATTTGATCAAAAATACAATAAAAACACATTTATTGTGACATATTTGTACAATTTAAAATAAAATAACTGATTACTGTGATGGCAAAGCTGAATTTTCAGCATCATTAATCCAGTCTTCAGAGTCACACGATCAAATCATTCTAATATGCTGATTTGGTGCTCAAGAAACATTTCTTCTTCTTCTTCTTATTATTATTATCAATGTTCAAAGTATCAATATTTTTGTGAAATCATTTTCTTTTTCAGGATTCTTTGATGAATAGAAAGTTCAAAATAACAGAATTTACTTGAAACAGAATTGTTTCTATTATAAACATAATATTATACATGCATTTACTGTCACTTTCGATTTCGATCAATTTAATGTGACTTTGCTGAGTAAAACTAGTAATTACTTTCAAAAAATATTTTACTGACCCCAAACCTTTAAACAGTACTGTAAATAAAAAATAAACCACTACATTCACTCATTTCAATTTTAAAACAGTGAATTTGGGTATTGCAATATTATAACATACAATATGAAAAATATTCCTAATTTCAATTTTTACATTCAACAGTGTTATTAAATTATAGGCATTTTTAAAGATTATTTTTAAGTGAGAGTTAGATTAAAATGTAAATGATAAAGAAAGGAGATAAACTAAAATGAAATATCCAATAGCGATCGGTACCACTAAATAAATAAAAAAAACTTTAGCTGATAATCAATATGGTTCAAATATTTTGTAAATAACCTAAGATGCTATATTACAACACTTTTTAAAATACAGTTGATCACTTAGATTAACTGCTAAAGGTAGCCTTCAGGAATATTGAAAGATAAAAGTGTATTTGTATGAATTTGTATAATGAGATAATCAAGCATTCTTCACCTGTTCAGTAGTTCTTGTGTGTGTTTTATCTGCAGTGCTCCCTGATCTGTCTGTTCCTGAAACTCTGCTCTCTCACTCTCCAACTGCATGATTCTCCGCTCCAGTGATTCTTTCTCTGTTCCAAGTCTACGCAGGCTCATCTGAGCATCCTGACAAAAAGATTTGGCTTACTAAGAGGTTACATCAGCCAAAAAGGAAAGTAATTTTAAAGAACATGTTATTTTATTTAGATAAAAGACGATAAAGCCATTCTTTTTGTTTGGAAAACCATGCACTGATTAATTGTTCACAATAAGACCCGGAACATGTATTAAGAAAGCAAACGGGGCCAATTCTGATTTCACACTGACCAACCTGTACTTCCTGTTGTCTCAACTGCAGGGCAGTCTCCGCTTGAGCGATGACAGAGAGGACAGAGGACAATCCTTCACTGGACACATCGTCTGAAGACAGAGAGCTTGACTGTCCGCTCATCTGCTGAGAGCCGAGAACCCTTGACTGGACAAAAAGACAGAGAACACATTAATTAATTCATGCTTCACTAAAATAAGGACAATTTATTTCCTGTTTTTAATCGGACTCACCAGTGTCGTGACAGCATGTCTGACAGACTCGAAGTTTCTCTCCATTTCTATCTGTCTCTCCCACTTCCTTTCTCGATCTTTTTCTCTCTCCATCTCCTGCCTGTGTCTCCTCTCCATCTCTGCCTCCTGCTTCTCCCGTTCAGATTCAAGAGCCTGTATTGTCATATTCAGCTCTGTGATTCTGAAAAAATCAAAGTATAACATCAGTATACTGAAACACTGTAATTAACACAAAACTATAAGTAAATATTTTTTGAATGATGTGTAAATGTGTAAACAAAACAAGGAATCAGAATTCTAAATCAATTTAATCACCAGCAAAACCATTGCAAATATATTGTGAATACTTGAAATAATGCAGTGGAATTAATGTTGCATGATTTCTGTAATGACCTGTTCCTGAGTTCCAGGGTCTCTGACTCAATGTCAGCTTTTAATTCAGTCGACTTCCTCTCGCCAGTTTGTTCATGACTGAGATCATCAAGAGACAGCGGCCCCTGGGAGGAGGAGAGCAGTTGCGCTGTAGTGGAGTGGCCTACAGAGGAGTCATGGGGCATCATGGGAACTGATCGAGGAGAAGAGAGGAGAGATGAGGAGAGACGAGAGAACTCAGCTCTCAGCTCCCACAGGTCTCTGTAGCACAAAAACACAACACATGCACACTTAACAGAAGGTATAGAGAATACATACACTACTGTTGGGGTCAGTTTTTTTTTTTTTTTAGAAAAAAGGAAACACTTTAGTATAGGGACCAATTCTCACTATTAAATAGGCCTAGTTGCTTATTAGCATGTCTATTATTAAAATATTGGCTGTTTATTAGTGCTTATAAAGCACATATTCTGCATGACCATATTCTACATCACTAATCCTATCCAATACCTAAACTTAACAACTACCTTACTAACTATTAATGAGTAGCAAATTAGGAGTTTATTGAAACAAAAGTCGTAATTAATGGTTTGTTAATAGCGAGAATCGGACCTTAAAATAAAGTGTGACTGAAAAAAAGACTTTTATTCAACAAGGACACTTTAAATTGATCAAAAGTGACAGCAAAGACATTAATCAGTTAATATTAATAATACTAAGCATTAAATATAAAAAAAAATATTACGTTTGTTTTTAAGTTTTTAAACTGTGAACATAAGAAATGTTTCTTCAGCAGCAAATCAGCATATTAGAACGCTTTATTAATCATGTGACTGAAAATTCAGCTTTGCCATCAGAGGAATAAATTACATTTTAAAATATATTTGAATAAAAAAAAAAAGTTATTTTAAATTGCAATAATATTTACAACATTACTGCTTTCAATTACTGTTTTTTCAACCTTCTTTCAAAAACATTAATCTTACTCACCCCAATCCTTTGATTGGTAGTGTATTTTCAACTAGCCTGATGCTAAGATGTCCATATTTTTGCTTTTGAAAACATAAATGAGTTTTTTATGTTGTGTCCTCACTTGTCAGTAGCCGTCTTCAGAGAGTGACACTGGCGTTTGAGAGTGACTACACGTCCCCACAAAGTCATCAACCTGGTCTGCTCCTTCCCTATGTAGCCTGTTAAAGCCTGTATTCAAAATAAAGATACAACAAATTTAACAAAACTGAATTAAAAAATAAGTCAAATATTGCTTATATTGCATCAATGAAACCAGTACATGCTGTTTTTGCATTGTGGATCATCTGAAGTGTATAGTTTATCATAAACATGTGGTAGCAAAGTCAGTGTACGCCACAAACACTCATCCATCTGTGTCTGTCAGTCGAACAATGAGAAAACCTGAAGCAGCAAGTGCAGCAACATCTCCCTGCTACATTTGCAGAGCCTTTCTCTGTACATTCAGACTGAGCAAGAGAAATCATTGTGCCAATGATAATGTTTACAACTGCAGAGTTGTGAGAAAATGCTGAATGTGGATATCACAGACGTCTGAATGATGCCATCTTTACTGCATGATAACACCATTGAGTTACCATTTGCAGCCATTGTCAAATAAAGTATATTTTAAAACATTTGTGCCTTAAAATGTAATGTGAAATATGGTCACAATCTTTGAGGTTATTTTAAAATAGCTAACAAGGATTTAGTTAAAAAGTACTGAATAAAACTCACTTCTGTAATGTCTTTTCACTCACATCCACTAATGGAAGACACACACTCAACTTTGTGTGTCACTGCGCAGTTGCTTGGTGACTAGGCATGGGCCGGTATGAGATTTTGACGGTATGATAACCTTAAGCAAAAATACCTATGCCTGCTACAGTATTTTTCTCTGTGCGTCCGTCTTCAGCGTCTCTGGCCTGTGTTAACGGGCGTTTACAGACTTCATATTTTCACATAAATGACATTTGGAAAACGATTGCATTGCAACGCAGTTTGTGCAAGTCCAGAACAGAGACGAGTTGCTTGCAATAAGACAAAAAACGGCCGGTTGCCGATCGCGTAAGTTCCAGGGGCAGCTCCTTAAGTTCGGCCATCCTACACAGTACACACGTGACTGACCGCTCGCTCGCACCAACAGGAGGAGGAGGGTCGTGTTACTCTCTACACTGCACTCAACCTGAGGGATTCCTACACTTTCAGTCTTTGAGGAGACATGAAAAACAGCGCATAACGAAAAATTTCAGCGGTTTTGAAACCGTGACATTTTCACATCGCGGTATACCTTGAAACCGGTAATCGGCCCATGCCTATAATGGTGACAATATATTGCAGCAGGTTCCCTAATGCACTGATAAAATCCTCTGAAAAACTGAGCCATTGCTAAGCAACTACCAAAAGCTCATGAACCTGTTGTAAGGCCATATGCATGCACACACTGCATATTTCAGGACCGACAACTGCATTTAATGCTGCACCTTGAAATTACTGTAATTACGAGATGACAACACAGAGATTTTGCTGCATTTACATCTTCAGAAATTATCTGTTTCTATGGCAACACTTATAATGTCAGAAATGGATTTTGCTGTGGCAACATAAAACCTCTTTTTTATATGATGTCACAAAAGTCAAGTGGGAGAAGGCGGAGCTTACATATAAACTGAGTTTCTATTACAGTCCCTATTGAAAAGGAGCAACTAAAAGAGAATAAAGATAACTTTTTATAGATTTACATTTACACATATCACTGTTGCTTCTTCCAATACGAAGTGTTTCCAGTACATTTAATATTTAATCAGTATGTGTGTCGATCTCTAGACCTTTCCTATTAAATATACAATTATATTATTTATTTTATTATTTATAATATTTATTCCTCACCTCTTTCTCTTTTTGCCAATCAATTTCCTTCTGCACCACCTCCTCCACCGCTTTGGACCAATCGGCTGTTAGCTTTCGTAGGTCGTCCCGCAGGGCTTCATTAGCCTCTGTTGATTGGCTGAGCTGACTCCGCAGAATAGTGCTGACCTCTGAGAGCCCTAAACATCTGCTCCGGTGAACAAACACAACTCAGTCACAGGAATTCAAGCTCTGAAGACATAATAATAGTATTTACACTGCTCCCGCACCTCTGCTGTTCCTCCTCCAGCCTGATGAGGGTGCTCTCCAGTGTGTCACTGCGTTCATCCCGCAGCATCCTCTGTGAAATGCACAGCATTAATGTGGCGCTCACAGATCTCCAGGAAAACACTGAGAACTGTTGCTCGTCTCACCTCTCTGATCCTCAGCTCTCGCTCCTCACTAATCGTCTGCTGCTCCAGAGTCTGACAGCGAGCCCTGTATTCCAACACCTGACATGCATGAGCACATACCAGTGAGAGACTGTCTGTATGAACTGAAATATGATTGGTCCTCTTAAATGGCTAGGTTAACGAGGCATTCACATAAACAGCGTTTTTTTTGCTGACTGATTGTAGAGGCTGTTCTAGATGCCCTAACAACTGGCCATAAAAAATGTACAAAAAATGTTCAGTTTGACAAGGAATCTGTTTTCTTGATGTTAAAGAACATGAGGAAAGTGTTGTATAGCAATGCATGATATCATGAACAAGAAAGACAAGTGATTATCAATTAAAACATGCTTCATGTTTCCAACTATATTCCTGTATGTGGGCAGTGGTAAATCAAATAGAGCAGCACTTTCAGACTAATAAATTTCCAAGATTTTTCCATGACTTTTCCCGTTTTTTGTTGAAACTTGAATCAAATTTTTAAAAATAATTTTACAGAGATCATATTCAGAAATAGTATTTCTAGCTTAAGAACTGACATTACTGGATATGATATATTGACTATGAAAATTTAAATGGGTTTTGCATAACCTTTTAAGACCTTATTCATTTCTTCGATATTTCCAGGTTTCCAGAAGCTGTGGGAACCCTAATATTACCATCTCCTTCATCTTGCCTTTCCTTGACTATGCGTGCTCTCAGTGTCTTCACTTCTACTGGTAGTCACCCAATAACATGACTGTTCATTTGCAAAAAGCAGTGGTTTTCAACCAAGGGGCCAGGGCCCACCTCAGAAAACTTCAAAGGAGGCATCAACAGTGTTGGGGGTAACGCATTACAAGTAACGCGAGTTACGTAATCAGATTACTTTTATCGTTGTGTGTGCTGTGTGAACATGATGTTACTGTAGTTCTAGACTAAATGTGAATGTGCATTAATTCATCCTACTCACAAAAAAACAGATTTAGTATTCATCAAAATGAATTAAAACAGTGAAATGCAAACTCAGAATATGACTCAAACCTGCAAGAATTAAATATGTTAAAAAGTAACGCGAAAGTAACACAAAAGTAACGTAAGGCATTACTTTCCATAAAAAGTAACTAAGTAACGTAATTAGTTACTTTTTTATGGAGTAACGCAATATTGTAATGCATTACTTTTAAAAGTAACTTTCCCCAACACAGGGCATCAACATGACATAAATGATTTAAAATAAGAAAAAACTAGTTTTGAAATAAGCCAAAACAACTAATAATCAAGAAAGTTATTATTTTTATTCAGCCCAAACTTCTGGAATACTAAAATGTAATTAAATTAACTTGAATTAGTTTAGTTGCTTATTTTAATCTGGGGCTTCAAATATTGTTGTGGACACTGGTGTCAAAAAGGTTGAGAACCAACTTCATTCAACTTTGTTGCTTCACTGGACAAAGTCACTGTTGTTCATGTCATGCAATGACTAACACTGTTAATAAAGAACTTCCATTCACACTGTCACTGCAAATCACTGTAAGTATGAATTCCCCTTAAATGTTTTAGATCTAGAACAATTTAAGATCCATGATATGAATACAGAAAGATTAAATCCCACAGGGACCTTCGCCATCACTATTAAAGGACTTACAGTACATGAAGTATTATTAAAGTTGCGATGAAGTTGCTGTAAGTTCAGACCTTGTTCTGAAGTTTATGAATGAGCAGAGCCTGTCTGGCTTCTCTCTCTCTGCCCTCTCTGAGCTTCCTCCGCCATTCTCGCTGCTCATCGTCCAGACGCACTGATAATGACAGAGAAGGGTCCAGCGTCTGAGACAGCTAAACAGCATGGGTACAAACAGACAGACAGATCATAAGTTTGCCATGTGTTCACTCTGTTATTGATGGACCAGACACATCACTGGCTCCTTCCTCACCCTGTCAGTCAAAGCTTGAGCTCGAGACTCAAGCTCCTCCCTCTCCGCTCTGCTCACTGCCAACTCATCCTGCAGACGTGATAACTCCGCCCTCAGCTCCGCCCTCTCCTCCTGCCAGCCAATCAACAGTTCTGATTCCATAGCCAGCCATCAGCTGTGAAAAATACAAACATTTATTTAGATGAAATGATTAAAGGTAACATGATTAAAAATTTTACACAAAATTAGATTAGATTAGATTCAACTTTATTGTCATTGCACATGTAAAATGGTGGTATTGATGTAATCCATTACAGAGGAGGTATAGATATCAATGTCCGTGTGAGAGTCACAGGCAGCCTGAGAAGCAAACATACTCCAGTCCGTGTATTGAAACCTGTCCTGAAGTAAAGAGTCTGCTCCTGTTGGCCACACTTTGATGGTCCTCATTGATGGCTTCACACGGTTGATGAGGGGTGAATACTTAGGGGTGAGAAACAAAGAAAGGTGATCAGACTGTCCCAGGTGGGGGAGGGGGGTCGCGATGTAAGCTCCATCAATGTTTGTGTAAACATGATCCAAAGTTTTGTCTCCTCTAGTGTGGCAAATAAACATTACACACAAAAAAATGTAGGACAAGACCCATCAGGAATCGATCTGATTGTGAAAAACAGTCACTGTGGTCATTGGTTAGAGGGTAGAGGATTTTTTTTTAGAATTCACAGTCACAATTTTTTTATAAGAGATTGACAGGACAAGTATTTTCTGTATTTAGAATAGCATGCACTGATAAATCGCTCACAATAAGATCAGGAACATATTTTAAGAAAGTACTTATGGTCCATTTTCATTTCATCAGTGATAAAAATAAAGAACTAAAGCATGGTGGAAACTCAAACATCTACTATGAAGATTGCAGATCACCTGTATCTCTTTCCAGCATTAAATGGCTGGTATTGCAGACTAAGATTACCAGTTATGGGACTCTCCTGACTGTATGATGTAAAATTACATGATAGCATTGGCAGCTTGGAGTGCCTCAGGCTTTAGTTCTTTCATTCAGGTGTAATCTTAAAAGTATGTAAGTACTTCAATGACTGATTCAGATATCCGCAACATATTTATATAACATATACATATACTGCATGTAACGGAGAGTTCTTAGTCACTGTGTAGCAGAGAGCTTTATTTGCTTTATTAAGTCTCTGTTAAAGTGCAAATATAAAGTAGTAGCTTACTTTTGAAAACACGGATTACTTGACTGTGTCCATTCCCGTGTTGCGGTCTAAAAAAACACGCAAAACCTCGGATATGCGCGTTTTTGATATTGTTTTTCTACCTTCCTGCAGCATCCGGTTTTGAAACTGTAAAGTCGAGTGTTTTGAATCAGCAGCCGCGTGCGTCAATGCGCTTGCTGTGAACAGCGCCACCACGCGACGCGGAGACACGCGTTTACCATCTGTTTACTGCTGTATGCTGAACATTTGGCGTGATATTATCTAGTCGAGTCTCTTCAGATTTGCTAACTGGATAATCAGTAGCTAAAAGGTCTGCTATTAAGCAACAGGTTTGGTTTTTGATATTAGATATGGATGATTATACTCAACAATTCTATTAAGATTATACAATAACAATACAGAAACTCATTAGTTCTCAGATTAATAACATTATAAAATAATGTAATTATATTTTAGAATAACATACAATCATTATTTTATTTTAATAATTATTTTAATTATTTAATTGAGTTTTTAATCTATAATTTCTGTTGTTTGTTTGTTCGTTGGATGAACTATATAGAGTATTGAATCTTAAAGGAGTCCTATTATGCTTTTTCACTTTTTCAACTTTAGTTAGTCTGTAATGTTGCTGTTTGAGCATAAAAAAGATCTGCAAAGTTACAAAGTTCAAAGTCCACTTCAAAATGAGATATTTTATTTAACAGAAATCACTTTTCAAGAACTACAACGAACGACTAGTTTGGACTACAACGCATATTTTCTGGGATTTGTGATATCACAAATATCGACGAATGGGACGAGACCTGCTTGAGCTGCACTAGAGAAGGCAACGAGTGTTATCACTGTGTCTGAGACATGCTAGTTTTCCCAAAGCAGACTAACTTGTAGTGGTTACAATCATCCGGGTTTAAATCGTGCTCAAATTGATTTGATTTTGACGCAATATTTACACTGAAGCTAGCAGGTGGCTATGGTAAGGGGCATGACATTTCCCGACCTAACCAATCACAACACACACTGACCCAGCTAAGATTTCTATTTCAGATAAATAGTGTTCATATCGATATCGGAATTATATCGTATCGACCGAAATTTAGAAATATATCGTGATATAAATTTTGGCCATATCGTCCAGCCCTAGTTGTAATAATGTAAAATATGAGAAAAATAATGTGTTTTTCGAACAACCTAGTATGAGAGCCTGTTCTAGTACACCCCCAAAACAAAATCAAGACTTTGTAACAGAGCATAATAGGACCCCTTTAATAAGAGATCGGTGTGTCATGACACTGGTTAGAACGATCTAATCTAGTGTAAGCTGATTAGCACAGAGACAGGACTTGAATTAAACAACATGCAGAGATGTCAGTTCAATTTTATTCTCATCTGTACAGGAGTATTTTCAAGTGGTTTGAAAACAGAACTGAGTGAAATTTGACACTCTCTGCTTTGTCCTTCTGAAGACAATAGATTTTAAAATTGTGTCAATGTGATATTCTGTCAACTACATTATATTTCTGATGCTACATCTCATCTGACTGAGTGGTTTCTGTTTTTGGATGACATGTTGATTCTCTGGTCCTGTTATGTTTTTCTCACATATCTGTCTCTCTACCTCTCCTTCAACTTCCTGCAAAGTTTACTCACCCTGGACAGTGAAAAGCAAAAGGTGACTGCAAGAATTCACAGAAAGAGACGGCGGAGGGGAACTATGACTTGAGACAAAAGCATGACTTGTTTGTAATTTTGTTTTGTTATCAAGTTCAACGTATTGTTGTATTACAAATTTATAAAATGTTAAATCTAGGTTCCAATGTAATAGAATATATACTGAAAAAGTTATGTACCTTGTGTTTTACATTTTGAGGTAAAAAAAGGATGACCTTTCTAAGGAGATCAAATCAGGAAGCCCAGGTGTCTGAGATAATGACCTTTTGTCTTTATGCTCTTCCTGACCATCTGGCTTTTTAAGCTCAAAGCACAGCTGTACCTTTGTCTCTGTGATAATGCGAAAGTATGGCGATACTGTCAGACTGATTGGATCAGCACCTATGCATTGAATGACACTGTTATACTGATGAGATCAAGGCTGGGAAAATGCCTGTGTCGGGCTGATTCCTGTACTTCATTTGCATGCTATGGGTTAGATTGTCTCCACCTCTACGGAATGTATCCCGCCCCCTTAAAATGTATATAAACTACAATGTATCACTACGTTAGTCAGACTTTTGATGACTGCAGCGCCACGCAGCACGTTCTCAATAAAGAACTCTGCTGAAAATACCCAAGAGTCTCCTGGTCTCTGCTTCGATGAGGAAAAAGTTTCCTACAGTTTGATTAAAATAACAATAGACACTCATTTTGAACTGATCTATTCATTTATTAAAAAATACATTAAAAATGCAATTCGTACATACAATGACCTGAATATACTCGTGTTATGATGAGTGTAAAAAAATGTCTTATCGAAGTTGTAACATGTATGTTCTACAAGAAAATACAATTTTAGTTTTTCCACTTGAAACTTTCACATTCAGTTCAGTGTAGTGCTTGCCATTTCTTGGTAATTATTTGTGAAATTTATTTCAAAGTAAACCCTACACCAAATTTTTCATTCTATATGGCAAGATTAGTTCAGGATGAAAATGTTATTTGGTATGACTCCCCAAAAACCTATCAAATCTATGAATAAATAACTATTTTACCATAAAAATATACTTAAAAGAATTTAGTTTTTAATTAATGATTAATGTGCACACACATATGTATTCAAGGTGTAAGAAAAAATGTCTTATGCATTTTATTTTGCTTCATGGTTACAACATATGACATTTAAATGTTCATTACATTTACATTTTCGCTGAAAATGGTAAACCAATTTCATATAAAACAGCATGAACACAAAGACTGCATTACATATTTTGACCTAGATTTTGGATTCTGTTATATTTCATTTACCCAAAAATAAGTTTATGATATTGTCCTGTAAAATAATTAGCTGTATTTAACATGATCTGTTATGTACTGTAATATAAATAGTGTCGAAATACATCACACTGCCAAACGCATCATAAAATGAGAAGGAAAGGTGAATACATGTCAGGTGTCTCTTGTCCAGTGAATTATGTTGGGTCCATTTCATAAGTTTGTTGTTTCACACACGGCCACCTAGTGGACACATGAAAGAAAACTTCAAATGAATAGACAGGAAGCATAGTTTAGCAAACTTTAGTAAGATGAATACCTACCACAGTTATACAATATGTTTATTTTGTGAATGTCCGTCAGACTTGGTCCGTCTCGCTGGCCAATGGGAGTGTACGGGTCTGGTTTAGGGATGATGGTGGGTCCACCATCCTCTGAGAAGGCATACCTGTGTGTGTGCATCAGTATTCATTTAACTTCAAATTATTTGCTATTGTTTTTTATCGCTTCATTTATAAGAAATTAAATTCTTGGGTTTAAGGGACTGTTTAAACAGCTATAGGCTACATGCATTTCAGATTGTCCACTAATAGCTTAGCAGAAGTATGCATACTGTAACAGTAGATTGCCAATACTCGCCTCCCATAGTGCATGACAGAACTATAGTCATATGCAGTATTGAGGTTGTTTGTCTCATACTTCTTAAAGTTGTGCCTTTGATCTAGGAAAAGAACCATGCATTACTGTCGTACTGAATGCATTGACTCAAAGTAAGTGCTGGTTTCAAACGCTTACTCTCTATGATGTTTTCCCACAGGATGGAGACGTGGTGGTCACGATCAGAGCGAGACTGTTCGTGTACAAATCCCAGAGCATGCATTAGCTCATGAGCTGCCACTCCTGACCACATACAGCCCGGAGACTGCAAAGACACGGTCTGACTGCCTCCTATCATTCCCAGATATGACCAGCAGCTATGGGGTCGACAGTGGACAACAATAATAATAATACAAAATAAAATAAAAAATTGCATACTGTTCAAAGTTTGGGGTTCAGTACTATTTTTTTATGTTTTTTTTTTTTTGCTCACTAAGGCTCCATTTATTTGATCAAAAACACAAAAACAACAAATATTGTGAATTATTATTGTTATTTAAAATAGCTGTTTTCTATTTTAATATATTATAAAATGTTGGTTATTCTTGTGATGGTAAAGCTGAATTTTCAGCATCATTGCTCCAGTCTTCAGTTTACATGATCCTTCAGAAATCATTCTAATATGCTGATTTGAAATGTGCTCAAGAAACATTTATTTAAAAAGTTGTTAAAAACAGTTATGTTGCTTGATATTTTTGTGGAAACTATGATACATTTGTTCAGGATTCTTTGATAAATACAAAGAACAGCAGAACAGCATTTTATACATTTTAAAAATGTCTTTACTTTACCTTTTAATCAATTTATTGGATCCTTGCTTAATAAAAGTATTAATTTCTTGAGAGAAAGAACCCCATTTTTGTATGGTAGTGTATATATATATATATATATATATATATATAATTTCATTAAAAAGATTATCATAAAAAATGATAATTACAATAACAATACAGTGAGTTTTTCAAAATTATGATCAGACTTTTTATATTGTCCTGTAAAATATTAAACATTAAAGAGAACACTAATAGAATATGGCTGTATATGAATCCAAAGTACTCACCCAGTTCTAGACTGGATATTAAGGAAGTTTGCTTCATGTGTGCGAGGCACAAACTTCACACATGTTGCAGAGGAAATGTCCAACATTCCTGTTTCTACGGTGATTCTGTCCATATCATCTGTCGAGACACAAATTATATAAATGTGTTATTTAATAATAAAGACCTTGACTTATCTTTCACTTATAATCATCTATCATGCAGTTTCATAGATCTTACTCACCATATATTGGAGAGATGATGTACGGTACATACACAAAACCATCAACAGATCTGGGCCAGCGGCAAGAATCTCCTAAACATGTGATGACACTGCGGGATCCTGAACCCAGGATGTCACCCTCTCTTAAAGGAAAACCTCTGGACACTGGCGGAGTAAGATAACCACATGTTTCATGCTCAAAGAATAATTCCCTGTAAATATATGTCTGTATCTGTCCTGCACATACGTTGATTTACTCTGAGGATCCTGTCCATGGCATTCATGTCCTCAGGTTTCACATAATGCTCTGTTAAAGAGATTAAGAATGGTATATTTACATCAATATATTGTAACAACCTACATTGCTCACCATGAAATACCAGTTTACCTGGATATTCTCTCTTTGACCTCAGCCTTGTCTGATGAACCAGTGAGGAGTTCTAATACAAAATAAATACATTTATGGGGCATCCATTGGATATGAATACTATCATCATAACTGCAGTAGTATTCAGTCGTTCTTACCTGCACAGGTAAAGACCAGGACTCTAACACCAGTCCCACAAAAATACCCACATAAAGCATCTTGGTGGTCATGCATGTGTAAGTCCTGGTGTTCTGGATGGAATCGAGTATTGCATGTAAACTAAAGTTAGGGCCCTTGCAGCTAGACTATATATACTCTGAGAACCACCCATCTTTACTCTAGGTTGCAGATGGAGGGTTAGCGTGACGTCCTATGTCATTATTTGATATTCGTGTGTTTCCCTAATGAAAGGTTTGGAAAGCATTCATTGGAAAGACAGTTCAGCATTTTTAAGACTGATCACAATAATGGCAATTTAAAGTCTTGCCGATTCTTGTGTTATTCGCCCTGACCATGCAAAACGTGTGCGTGTAGTGTTCAAACTCATTTTAATCTGTAAACAAAATCTCAATAGGCATTTGTGCTGTGTTCACAATATGCTGTAGCAACACGTGATGCAAATAAATAATGCCTCGCCCTTTCTTTAACTTATAATTTTTGCATTATGCCAAATAACAGGTTGTTTTAAATTCAGCTTGCATAATTCATAGTGTTGACACCTCAGTACTTATTCATTAGCTCTGAGATCAGCTGATTCTGAACATTTATCAACCAACAGTTTGGCTTATTTGATTGCAACTGGCTCATGGAGAATTCTTTTGCAATGAAATGAAAGCTTAAATTAAATATCAGAGAAAAATATATTTACGGACAATGTTTATTGATGTAATGTTTGTATAAGGCATCAAGATGTCAAAATCAGCATAAGAAAGAATATAGAAATATCTGAAACAGCAGGTTACAAAAGAATATTCTTATATTAGCAATTTTTAAATCAGCAATCTTCACAATCAGCCATTTTCCTTTAAAAAAATATGATGTTAAAATGTTAAAAGAAGTAAAAGCACTAATGCATTAATGTCAGACTTTTAGCCGTGCAATGGATCATTCATTACTGTAAATGGATTTTATTATGCATTACATTTATACATTCTATTAATCTTCATTATATCCAAGTCGCTGGGTCCAAATCTCTGTCCAATCTTCACGTTCCAGTTTCTTTTTGGTACAATAGTAGGTTCACCATCCTCAGAGAAGGCATACCTGAAATGACAAAGAATATCACTATATAACTGCAGTTGATTATATCCCTCAGTTACCATTTCAAATGTATATCGACATACTTTCCAAAGTGCATGATAGAGCTGTAGTCGTAGGGGGTGTCCAGGTTGTTTGTTTTAAACTTTTCAAAATTCCTCAGCCGGTCTGTTTTAATTAACAGAAGAATAAGTGAGTGATAAAATGACTTTGAAGTATAAGGCTATGAGAATAAAGGAATGTTACTTTACCATTCCATATATTGGACCACATGATGGTGACATACTTGTCCCGGTCAGCTCGGGATTGTTCGTGAACAAAGCCCAGGGCGTGCATTAGCTCATGGACGGTGACCCCTGACCCGGTGCACTCAGGTGTCTGGAGAGAAATGGTCTGTCTACCACCACGTGCTCCCAGATATGACCAGCACCTACAGTATCAGCGATCAAAAATCAGGAGACACACTCAGAATGAAGCCGTTGAAGAGTAATCTCATGTCAATACCCTGTTTTGGGCTGAATATCCAGGTAGTCCCTCTGGTGAGTTCTGGGCACGAAGCGCACACACGTATCATGTTCAATGAGCTTCATGCCTTTCTTAATGTTCTCCACGTCTTCCTCGCCTATGCAGAAGAACAATCAAAACCAAATAATGAGATTTAGTTAGTGATTACTGTGGCACTGTTTATGAAAATCAATGTGTTTGCTTTTCCCTGCTTACTGTACGCATGAGACACTGAGTATGCAATGTACACTTTTCCATCTACAGATTTGGTCCACAGGCAGCTTCTGGCAAAACAGTTCTTCTGACTCCTACTGGACACGGCTATATCGCCTTCTCTGAGGTTGGTGCCATCCACAGAAATGACACCTGCAAGAGAATAATGTTTTTTAATTGGCATCTGTGGTTCCATGAAAACGTTTTAATATCCATGGAAACTTTCCATTGCACAAAATGGTCTTTATAGTGGAAAAAAAGTTATTTCGAGTATTGTTCTTCACACTAAGAAAAATAGTGGAACTGTTCACTGAAAGGTTCTTTATGGAAACTAAGATTGTAGTTCTATGGAATCGCTGTGAAAACTTTATTTTTAAGACTGTATGGATATCACAATAGAGAGGTTAGAACATTTACATCTTTACAGGCTTGTGCAAAAGCTTTACCTTGATAGTCATTTACATCTATGATCCTGTCCATTGCAATTGGAGTGTTTTCTTCGATATCATCTGGAGAAAGTTATAAAACTGTTCAAATATAATGAATTTTCAATGAATAATGACAATTAATACAACACACTTTACCAGAGAAGCTTCTCCTTTGTCTTCTTGCTCCAAAATTTGACTGAGAGGAAATCTGCGAGAAAAATTGACCAAAATATGTGGTTTTGATTGATAAAAAAACAAAATATACTCTTACTGATATGCAGTTACCTGACCAGGCAGGGACAAACATGGTCCTGCTAAGAAGAAGAGCAGTATGATAACCAGTGTGTACTCCATGAGTGCGCTGAGATTTGCTGTCTAAGTTCATTCTGCCTGCCTTTTAAGGGCTCTTTACTAGCTTCCTGTTACATAATGTGTGCTCTCAGTGGCCAACCAAATGTTTGTTTTTCTTCTTTACGCTGTTTTTAATTGCCACATGCACTTGCACATATTTAACTACTACTTTCATTGTATAATGTCGGTGTTTTTATTTAGTTCATAAAAGGTTTTCGCCCGAACAGGGACTTGAACCCTGGACCCTCAGATTAAAAGTCTGATGCTCTACCGACTGAGCTATCCGGGCTCTTGACTACACAGATTCAGGCGGAGATGAAAAAAGTTCGCTGTGAATTTTTTGCAACATTCTATGAAGTTAAAAGTTGATTCAGACATTTCACCATAAACGGAGGCCGTTTCAATTATTGTTCATGTTTGCATGTTTTCCGCATTGCTATCATTCTTATGATCCGTTATTTACTTGTATCAGTCTGGTAAATAACATCATGTTTAGTTTTAATTCAACAGAAAATATGTAGAATCCAATATAAAATAAAACTATGTGGAGCCATTTTGTGTTTATAGTAATTCACAGCCGCTTAGTTTGAACGTCATCCAATCAGATTGTTCTCTCGGTCATTTAATGAACTGCAGTTTGTGCGATGTAGAGTATCCAATATAAAATAAAACTATGTGGAGCCATTTTGTGTTTATAGTAATTCACAGCCGCTTAGTTTAAACGTCATCCAATCAGATTGTTCTCTCGGTCATTTAATGAACTGCAGTTTGTGCGATGTAGAGGTGTCTTTTGCTCATCAAACAGTAAAGTCGGTCTGTGTACAAGAAGTCGTTTTGCTTTACCGTTATGGAGACCCCACAAAACTCTTTAAACATCACCTTTCAGGACGATAAAGAAATACAGGTGAGACTCGCGGCCAAACATTAGCAAACCAAATATGCTAAGCTTCATATGAGTTTGACTGACTCACGCTTTGTTTTTTCGCTGTCAGGATTTGTCAAAACAACTCAAGGATGCCAAAACTGAACTACAGCTTACTAAAGACGAGGTGGAGCAAGTAAACAAAGATGTTAACAAATGGTAATTAATACTTATACCATTATTATCTGTCTGAAATGAAGATTCAGCATGTACGAGTTACTTTGACGTAAACGTAGTAGGGAAATCATTGGATGCCATCATTTTACCTCAGGAACTAAAAAAATAAATAAAAAAATCAAAGTTTAATAACGTAGCCTACAAAACAACTTATAAAATAAAAAATAATAATGTAATTTTTTAGCTACATGCATCAGGGTTTTAGGTGGCCTTTCTATTGCAGATAACAGCTTCTATTCATATTATTGTAGCAGAGAGGAGATGGACCGGAGGATGATGATGATGGTCCAGATGGATGAAGGCCTGTGGAATGCATTGCTTGAACTGGACACTCTGATGCAGGAGAAGAAAAGCCTTGCCAACCAGCTAGAAGAATTAACTTTATCTAGGTATGACTATGCAGATAAACTACCACCCGTCTGTGGTTCTATCCTACCAAAATATGTTGTCTTATTGCTTGTTTTTCCTAGAATCTAATTTGTGGCTTTAGATATTCTACTGAATAATTAAACCCAACAAAATCACTATATACGATTTTGTACGATTGTAAAAGGAGTCGTTTTCTCATTTACTTTCTTCTTTCAATATTAAACCAAAAAACAAATGATCGGATGATACACACGGACCTATCCTGAATGGTGAAAATGACAGTTCTGGAGATTTAATTTTCATCCGTTTCCAAGAATTTAGATAAAGACTTTGCCCATATTGTATTTTAAACTGGGAGTTTGTTATAATTCTTTTATTTAATAATTAAAGCATGGAATTTTCAACGCTATTTTGTTACAGTACCATCGAGTCGAAGCAAGCTCTTCTGAGAAGTTTGCAGGAGGAGGAAAGCAGCCTGCTGGAGCAGGAGTGTGATCTGAAGCTCAAACGTGAGCAGCTGAGGAAAGCACTGGTGGATGCTTCTGCAAACTCAGAGGAAGGTACAGCAATAACCTCTAGCTACAGTTTTGCAGTCTAGGTACTGGCCATGCAGAATAATGCTGTTTGATATTCAACTGGTCTCAATTCGCAGTTTCACAGGGTGAGAATCCAGTTAAACCAGGCTCATCCAGCCAGAGTAAGTCTACAGAAAAGCCAGTGAGAAAAAGGGGAACACGGAAGTGATCACAACATCAAAAAATGCTACTTTTATTTTATTTTTATATTTAGTACAACTAAGCTGCAATAAACATGGAAAATATGGTGATTTTTGTGTATTTTTTATTTGATACAACAGTTGAAATGTTCATTGGAGGTTCATTGGTAGTCACTATACTGAATAAAGTGTAAAGATTCAAAAGACTGACCTCTGGCAATGATAAACTCAAACAGATGTGCTTAAGTTGTCAAACTTTAACCTGGAGGCACTCCTCCAGGGTGAAATTCAAAGATAATGTAAAAAAAAATGTTAAAGGCATCATAAAAATAAAAAAATAGCCTAAATTTCTAAACACACTCATGGTGTTATGTAATTTCTTTCTTCTGTAAAACTTTGGGATAGTATTTTTTATGCGTGAAGAACCATATGCAAATACATTTGAAAACTGAATACATCTAACTTAACTCTAATGGTGGATAGAAAAAGTTATGCTGCCAATTTAATAAATATTCCACAGATAATAGATGACTGTTTCTTTTGGCTTTTGTTCAATTGACAATTAATGCTGTCTTTAAAATAAACACTGTTTTTTCTCACACAGTTATTTACATGAAAATATATATATATTTTAAGAAAAAGGGATACAATTACAAGGATACATCATGTTTGGAAGTCTTTGGCATCAAGAGTCTTGGCAACAGAACAACATCGCGCTGTAGTTTTAGGACACTTGTCGGCCACCGTAGAGCACAAACACGTGTGTAATGTAATATGATTCATTTCAGCTTACGCGGAGTGAACATATAAATTAAAACCATAAGGGACCGATGCTTTTGCCAAAAAGGTAAATATATACATTAACAGTGATCACTGATAGTTAAGTGAGCTGAATTATAGCGTTAGCACAGCATTGTATCTTTGCAATGCACGTGCTGAATCAGGCGTTACTCTTGTAGGGAAGCAGCTGTCCGATTGAGAAAAATATGGACATTGCTTTGGTTTACCGACAGTCCCGATACTGAATGTTTAGTGTATTTGAGTAAAGTTCACATTTTTGTTCTTCCGTGTGTAAAACTCACGGTGTGCCACTCTTCTCCCGCTGTACTCGTGTGTCTAGGTGATAGCGCTGGTTTATGTTGTCGACGGAGTCATGGCTTCTGCGGAGCAGCGGTGTGTGTTTTCGCTGTGTGCGGATGAGACGGTGACCGCTGGGCTTAGAGAGGTGTCTGGACTGCTGGGTCATCCTGAACCTCCCCTGCTCTCTGCTAACACGTCCAGTGAGGGTAAGTTAAGAGAGCCAGACTGACTGCTCCAATGAGATCGCACACGGCTGCTGATCGGGTGTTTATAGCACACTCTTCATAACCCTGACAGATGTTGGCTCAATGAAAACTGCATCCGCCGTTGAGGTGTCCGACAAGATGTTCTGCTCGGCCTGTCGGTGTCATTTTGAGAGTCGAGAGGAGCAGGTATGAGTAATTGATTACAGTGCTGATACGATCAATTAAAGTATGCTTTTGTAGTAAAACCTTTAACCCTATGTGTTAAATGTCTGCAGTTCAAGTAGTTTCTTGTATAAACTGTGCTAATGCCTGACTACTTCTTCCACAGCTTGGCCCAGTACGTATTTTTCACCATTAATTTATCTAATATGAATTTTTAAAAAGTGTTTAAGTTATAAGTTGTTAGAGTTATAAGCCATGAACCAAACCAACCAGCTAAGATGTGAATTGCAGCATTATACAAACTTTGATTTAAAATATGAAGGTATTTGAAAATAGACAGAAGACTGTGTACTTAACAGCTTTAATATGGCAAGAAAAGGGTATGATCCACTGATCTATAATATATAGATCAGTGGTATAATCACAAAGATATCATATTTGTTTCATATTGTTGTTGCTATTCAAATATGATTATTTCAAAAATAAGGTATGCACACTGATAGCTTCAACAAAAGCATATACCTTTTAGACATTTATTTGCATACTGAATCGCGAATGGTCACAAATTTTCCCAACCCTCATGTCATTCCAAACTCGTATGATTTTCTTTCATACAAGTTTGGAATGACATGGGAAATGACAAACTACTACTGTGCTGGTCTTCTGAAGTCATGTTATAGCTGTGTATGAGGGATAGAAAGAAATGTAATCTGTATGTTAATGCAGTCCCAGTCTTTTATCAGATGGAGCATTACAAACTTGACTGGCACCGCTTCAACCTGAGACAGCGGCTGGAAGGAAGATCAGTGGTCACCGTGGAGGAGTTTGAGAAGAAGACTGGCACAGGTAGAGTCATGTATGCTCATATGACTTTACTGACGAACCGTTTTATGCCATCCAGTTTGCATAAGTGTGATTTTTGCGTAATCTTCCTGTCTGCCTTCCTGTTAACAGGTGACATTTCAAGCATTTCGGGTTCAGACTCAGACAGTGAGGATGGGGATCTTGGAGATGAAGTGGGCCCTGAAGAGACAGACAGTGCTCTGGACACAGATCAGTCCACATGTCGACATTCTACCAAAGCAGTCTTTCAAAACATGCAGGGACAGTTCCTGTCATTGTATCGCTGTGTTCTGCAAAACAAAAAGGTGAGTAAATCTATCCATCATTTCTCAGATTTGTTAGTCTGTGCCTAATTGACAAGAGCATTGGCTAAGAAGAATCCCCACTCAACAGATTATTTTCAGAGGCATTTTATTGTTTGAAGCAGTTTCGTAGAAATAGGACAGAAGAGGACAGGATCAGAATAGGACCTTAAGCTGGGTTTTCCTGTTTGGTGTGATATTTAATGCCTCTTTAGTCCTATTTAGCTACTTGTTAGCAGCAACCACCTTTTTCAAGACACGGAAAAGCTTCAAAAACCACAATTGAGTATCATAGAATGAGATGGGAAAACATCTTGAGCTTGTGTTAAGCATACAGACCTTATTTAAGGCAGTTAAACTAAAACACGGCCAAAAGACTCACTGACTTTAGGACGATAGAACCAGAAGTTCAAAAATGCTAAGTCATTTCCAGGTTTTAGGAGTCGTTCCTGCAGCACTTTTTTCTTTCAGTCTCATCTGATTCTGTTGTCATATTCAAACTCAGGACAATGAAGAAGACTTGGTTTCCTCTTTACTGAAAATATCAAATAACACTGTTTGGGTCATTCTGATGACTGGCGGTGGACACTTTGCTGGAGCGGTTTTTAAGGGGTCAGTGAAAAGTTCAGAAGTTTGTCTATAACCACAAATATTGGAATTAATTGCTTAATAATTAGGTAAGTAAATGCTATTCCCTAATTGATTCATCTAACACATAGAAAAGAGATTGTGCAGCATAAGACGTTTCATCGGTACACGGTGAGAGCGAAGCGAGGGACCGCACAGGGACTGAGGGACTCTCAGAACCGCAGCCACGCTCCTAAATCTGCAGGGGCAGCCCTCAGACGTTACAACGAGGCAGCGCTGCACAAGGTCAATTTCAACCCTTTGTTATATATAAAAAGTTGAATAACACTAACCTGCATAGAATTTATAAGTTTGGAATTGTTATTGATGTATACGCCCTTTTTTAACCAGGATATTCACGATCTTCTAGAAAGCTGGGCTGAGTATTTGAAGGAGGCAAGTGCCATCTTCCTGCGAGCACCGAGTTACAATAAGACCATATTTCTTGGAGGTCGTGGAGCACCACTGGACAAAAAAGATCAGAGAGTCCGGGTACTTCCTTTTGCCACCCGTAGAGCAACATTTAGAGAAATACAGCACGTTTTTGATCTCCTTTCAACTCTACACGTTTATCGTAAGTTGAGATTTGCTGCCATGTAATATATATGTATTTTATATATGTTAATTTCTTTCCTTTAATATGATCGTCTGTTACATTCCAGAAAAGGACACTGAAATCTCCAGTATTTTCAGTCTTTCAAAGAGAGTGTGGAAGAAGAAAACTCCTAAACCTGTTAGTCATCCAGTCCCAAACATCAATGGTGCGTCTGAACCCTGACTGTGTCTTACGTACTGTGCTTCTGAAAATATCTTATTAACTTATTAAAGGGCTGTTTTGTGGTCAGTGCCTACAGATGGAGAAGAGGGTAAAGAAGAAAGTTCAGGGGAGGAAGACTCAGGAATGCTAGAGACAGTGGAGGAGACACTGGGAACTCTGGACCTCAGAGAACATGAGGTGCAGCTTAATAAGAAGAAAAGGAGGAAACGGAAAGAGAAGAGAGAAGGTAAAGACCTTTACAGAAGAAAAGTAAAATGCTTTTAGTAAAGATAAGAGAAGATTATTAAAATACATCTTGTTTTTCTTGTGTCTTCAGATTCGAGCAACAGAGAAATAATAACTGAAGAAAAGGTAGATGATAAACTACTGGAAGAAGGTGAACTGGAAGGTGAAGATGACTCTAAAGAGACGCAGAGAAAGTCAAAGAGCAGGAGGAAACCGAAAGGCAAAAAACGTCAGCCAGAAGAAGGTAAAACACTGATGTTGGAGCCAACAGTCCACTCACAGTTTGCTGCAAAGCCTGCAACAGCAACACGGTCCAAATAATTCTGAAGGGTCATATGCACTAACAAAATATAAAAAAAAAAGGTTTTTTTTTCTTGGAAGAAAGAAATTCATATTTTTATTCAGAAAGGATGCATTAAGTCAATCAAATGTGACAGTGAAGCCTTTATAATGTTATAAAAGGTATTCCAAAAAATTCTGTTATTTTTTCAACGTTAATAATATTATGAAATGTTTCATGAGCACCAAATCAGTATATTAGAATAATTTCTGAAAGATCATGTGATACTGAAGACTAGAGAAAATTCAACTTTGACATCCAAGGAATAAGTTACACTTTAAAATATATTCAAATACCAGTTATTTTAAATTGTATATATTTTTTTTTCAATATATCTTTTCAGAAAAAGTGGATGAGTCTTGGGAATATAGTTTAAGGGACGCTCTCTACACCGCCTGTAAAACGGGGGACATCCAATCATTACTCACCCTCCTGCAACTACCAGAGGACCAGGAAGAGGAAAAGGATAGAGAAGAGAAGAACACCACCTCTAGGGTGTCATGTCTTCTCAACAAGCCCATAGACTCAGCAGGCTTTACTTTACTGCATGTGGCATCAGCAGCTGGACAGAAATCAGTCATCAGACTGTTAATGGATGAAGGGAGTGATCCAGCTAACAAGTATGCACATACAGAATCATTCTAATAATCAATTAGCAGCAGCAGGTTTTCATGTGGCTGGATGGGTTGTTCGGTTCTAAATAGTGGTCAATGTCTTTTTTAGGGATAAGAAAGGACAGACTCCATATGGCGTTGCTCCTGAAAAAGATACCCGCGACACATTTAGAAAATACATGGCTGAACACCCTCATAAGTATGACTACACTAAAGCACAGGTAGACAAATCTACATTATGATGACTAGCAACACCACAAATAGTAACAAAATCTTCATTTGCTTAGAGACCACAAATAAAAATGATCCTAATTTTCACTTTAAAACAAATTAGATTTTAATACATATTAAAGACGATTGTAAAATGTTTTTACTTAGAGATAATAATGAGATAATGAAGATAAAACTAGTGGTCTCAGACCTGCACTATATACAAAGGTTTAATAATTTATTTATGACATGTTATTATTGTATATAACATATTTTCATAACATTTTTAAAATATATAAAAAAAAAAATACCAGGTTTAATTTTTTTTTTTTTTTACTTTTGTATGTACAGCTGCCTTGTCTTTGCAACCCAAAGTAATAAATCTATCACTTATTCCTGTATTTTCTTTGCTTTAATATGTTTAAGGTGCCTGGACCACTGACTGAAGAAATTGAGTCCAAAAAGGCAGAGAAGAAGAAAGCCCAAAAAGCAGCACGGAAACAGAGAGAGAAAGAGCAAAAAGAAGAGAAACTTAAGAAGCAGCAAGAAGAGGAGGAAAAGAGGAGGTTCATAGCTCTTAGTGACAGAGAGAAGGTGACTACTTAATTTCTTCCTCGTGTTGTAGTTCTCATGTGGATGACCTATTGTGATTGGCCGATTATGTCATATTTCTGATGTCACACAGCGAGCTCTGGCTGCGGAGAGGAGATTGGCTGAACATATGGCCACAACTGGAGTATCACTCACTACCATCAGGTATTACCTTTTATTATTTAATAATATCTCTATGGAGAAATATCTGTCCTTTATGCAAGTCATCATTAAATTTCATCCAAAAATAAGTTTTGTAATAGCTAGCATAAAAATGTTTTTAAAGGAGATGCTTTCAGTGTGGAGAGTCATTACTGGGGAAGATTCCTTTTGAATATCTGGACTACTCTTTCTGTTCGCCTCGCTGTGTCCAAGCCCACCGCAAAGCCAATGCAGCAGCCCGGCCCTGACCTCTCACCTCTCACATCCTACCACACAGCATTAGAGGACGTGAAGGTGTGGTGCCATATTGTGGACATATTTCATTTTACATGATCTGGGAGTTGACTGGATTTTACAAGAAACATATCAAGGATTTCACAGTTATCTTTGAAATGACAAGACTATGATAGATTACCTGAAATCAGAGAAGAGAATGATTAATAAGATTGATTCACAGAAATCTTGAATATCTGTAATTTAACATGGCTACTCTGATATTGTATTACTTTTCAACTCAAATCAGGACACAGACCAACCACTGTGTTTCAAAAAAAGTTCTACATCTTCATGAGATAATAGCTCATTATAAGTCATAGTTAATTCAGAACTGTAAAGTAAAATCATGGCGTGTTTTATGTTTTACAATGTAAAACTCACACATTTTTGGTAAAAATGTTGTTGAAGTTTATTCTTTTACATTGTTTGGCAGCTGCTGCAGTTTTAGATTGTACAAATACAGTTGAAATCATCATTGATATGATTCTTTTGGTGTAATACTGTTTCCAAACTAGCATGATTTATGATAAAGAAAAAAGGTATATGATTGACAGCACAGAATGCTACAGTCACTGAAATTAAGTCAAGGATCACTGTTTTTTTTATATCTATTATTCATTTATTACTTATTGCTTAATTTATTTCCAAGTGACTAGATGCATTTATATTATTCCAGATATTTTACATCATGACTGTCCCCCTCAAAAACGTTGAATATGGAGTTATGACACTGAGATTTAAATCATCTTCTTTTAAAGCAGATAAACTTTAATGCACATCAAGGTCTTGACTTCTTAGATTTGTCAGAGTACGAAAATTAACCTCAGCACCTTGGTGTGGAAAAACTTTAGCATTTTTACCATTTCTAAAGAAATAAACTGACCAGTAAATTGGGCAAATGTGGCAAAAATTACAGTGTTATGCATTATAATGGCTGTATTTCTCTGTTATACTTGATAGATTTGAGCAGAGATGATGGAGCTATACTGAAACTGGTTATCACTGTTAGAGTATATGATCATGTCTTCTGTCCAGTGTTGTTCAGCTGAGGCCGGTCCATAAACAGGATTCTTCTGTGTGAAGGAGCTCTTTCCAGCTCCAGCACTGTGATGTTGTTTGGCTGAGTGGCACTAAGAAAAGGTCCAGGGACATAGAGCGTCTGTTGGGGGCCCCTCTGGGGCCAATACCTTCCCAGGTTCACCTCATTTACCCACACCTGACCCTAAAAGAGAAAAACAGAATTACACAACACTGCCATGTAGTTACTCAAGATAACAAATACTAGATATTCTTCATAATACAAAAAATACACCTTACCTTAGTCCATCCATTAAGTTTTACAAAAGTGTCCCATGCGAGGCCTGTAGACTTCAAGGTTCCTGAGTAGATCATTGGTCCGTCTCCTGCTTCCATCGCTGACCCTGAGTGAGCCGCTTGCAGCCAGCCATTGGCTACGGCAGTGTCAATGTCCAGTGGATAGATTGACCAATCAGTGAGCACGTCATTGCCCAAAATGAGGTTACCCAAGAGACCCTGAAAAAGGGGTTTTATATACTTTATTAATAGAATTTTCTCAGTTGGTTTAGGGAATATTAGCTAATCTTGCCATATTTCGTTAACTTGCCTTTTTATCATTGATATAACTGCCAAAATTGACCCTGCCCATGTTCTCCACGAGTATGTCCAACTGATCCCCTTGTTGTCCTGTAACGTTCATCACCAGTGCAGTGTCCCTCTCCATAAGCCCCTGGTACACCTGCTCACAGACAAGTTTCAATCTAAACCATCTTTTCTGCCAAACATCTGCCTTTAAAACAAAACCATGGTTAAGATGAGATTTAAGTGTAGGCCCTAAATAAACAGTTAAACATTAATATATCTCAGTCAGCGTATTGGTTAATCTTTCTCCATTTGATTATGTAAACTGAAGTGATCAGCAGTTTGGTTTTGTGAAAATTTTTTATTTTGTCTTGAGGGTGCACTCAGTAGCTGTGTTCTAATTGGCAGGGTCCCAATGCAGTGTTCACTGCTTCCTGAGCACAGGATATCAGTTGAATGTGAGTTGCGTACATTATAAGAGTATGAGGTATGAAGACATGATATACTTTTATTTAATATTTGTACCTATGTATAAAAAAGGGTTATTATAGTTAACTAAACCCATGAAAACATACTTAAACATTCATTGAAATAAAATATTAAAAAACTTTTTTCACCTAGTTGCCAAAACAGTTTCTACATTTTTGTTTAACTTGATGTACTAAAATAAATACAACTGAAATAAAATTAATACAAATTATATAGACTGTGTTAAAAACAAAAAGTAAAAAATAAATAAATAAATTATAATGAAAACCAAAATATATTATTAAAAACAAAAAATTAACATGATAGATTTAATTCGATTCAATACACTAAAATACATTAAAATAACACTTTTTTTTTTTTTAATATTAAGCTATTATTAATTTAATTAATATTAAAGGGGTCCTATTATGCTTTTTCACTTTTTCAACTTTAGTTAGTCTGTAATGTTACTGTTTGAGCATAAAAAAGATCTGCAAAGTTACAAAGCTCAAAGTCCACTTCAAAAGGAGATATTTTATTTAACAGAAATCACTTTTCAAGAACTACAACGAACGACTCGTTTGGACTACAACGCATATTTTCCGGGATTTGTGATATCACAAATATCGACGAATGGGATGAGACCTGGTTGAGCTGCACTAGAGAAGGCAACGAGTGTTATCACTGTGTCAGAGACATGCTAGTTTTCCCAAGGCATACGAACTTAGAGTGGTTACAATCATCCGGGTTTAAATCGTGCTCAAATTTATTTGATATTGATGCAATATTTACACTGAAGCTCGCAGGCGGCTATGGTAAGGGGCATGACATTTCCCGACCAGGCGCCGAGTGGAGCCAATCACAACACACACTGGCCCAGCTAACCAATCACAGCACACACTGGCCCAGCTAACCAATCACAGCACACACTGGCCCAGCTAACCAATCACAGCACACACTGGCCCAGCTAACCAATCACAGCACACACTGGCCCAGCTAACCAATCACAGCACACACTGGCCCAGCTAACCAATCACAGCACACACTGGCCCAGCTAACCAATCACAGCACACACTGGCCCAGCTAACCAATCACAGCACACACTGGCCCAGCTAACCAATCACAGCACACACTGGCCCAGCTAACCAATCACAGCACACACTAAGCAATCACAGCACACACTGGCCCAGCTAACCAATCACAACACACACTAAGCAATCACAGCACACACTGGCCCAGCTAACCAATCACAACACACACTAAGCAATCACAGCACACACTGGCCCAGCTAACCAATCACAACACACACTAAGCAATCACAGCACACACTGGCCCAGCTAACCAATCACAACACACACTGGCCCAGCTAACCAATCACAGCAC